GTTTTTCTTGTGTTCTTTTTGAGAGTATACAAACTAAGTTTGAGTTAATTGGATAAAAATTGTAGATTTTTCATACAAACGTTGGAGCCCGTTTTCCCCCCTTTGGCGTTCGAATTTCCCAAAATTTTCTTAGTGCTCACCTACACCACTGAAGACAACATGTGTCCAATTTTCAGCCTCCTAGCTCTTACCGTTTGGGCTGTGCGTTGATTGCAAATAGCTTTTCGTTTACCGAATTTTCCACCGGAAAATCATTATTATTCAGGCCGCAGAAAAAATATTGAAAATCTAAGTATACAGTTTGTTTTGTATTCTTTGTGAGAGTATACAAACTAAGTTTGAAGTTAAATAAAAAATTGTAGATTTTTCATACAAACGTTGCAGCTCGTTTTCCCCCTTTTGGAGCTCGAATTTTCCGAAACCCCTTCTTAGTGCTCACTTTCACTATAAGAGGGATCTTGTGTCCAAATTTCAGCTTCCTAGCTCTTACCGTTTGGACTGTGCGTTGATTGCCAATCAGTCAGTCAGGACAAACTATTTTATATATATAGAGATTACGTCATCGTTTTATGTATGCACTTAGAAATGACTTTACTACCGCACTACAATTATTTATACATGCACATCAGAGAACTGCATGAGTGCCTATTTTTGTCACTCTAAGTATACTTACTGAAAAAGCGGTTGCGGTGTGATCGCACCCTCTTACTTTTTTGTCTATTCAGTCACTGACTTAAAAGGCATTTTTGTATTGCTATGACTGGATCACTCTAGCACTCTACAATTCATACTCTATCATGGGTGTATGCGGTGTATGCTTTATTTATTCATCGCACATTCTTCTTGTTGTTTTCTGCACTCGTACTTATACTCATACGCGCACAATACAAATATTGCGTGCACAAGAAACGATGAGAGAAGAGTTGACAAAATCAATGTGATGATTAGTGAAGCAAAGACCAAGTACTGCGAACACCTCATAGGAAAACCGAAGCGAAGCAAAGACCAAGTACAACGCATGTGTATAACTGCGTTTTTCTTATTTTTGCTCATTATGTACGGCAAATTACGAAGTAAATAATTCCTTTTAATTGTGTGAAAATCTTTTTTTATTTTGCATTGTTTATGTTTCAGCAATATGTGCAGATAAATGAAAATATTAGTACATATGTACAACAGTGGACAAAAGTATTTTGACAACACATTGCAAAATTTAAAACCGCTTATTTCTGCAAACTTAGAATATAATAGAAATGGATAACGTTATCCATTCAATTTTTAGGAGAGAAAAGATATTAAAAACTTTAAGAGAATAAAAGATCGCACTGATAACGTAACACATTTCTTTTCTATGGTTATCTGCGTAGTAGATTGTGATTTTTTGGCTGGACAAAAGTATTTTGACATTGCTTTTCATATTCCTTTTCAAGGATTTGCTTGCCGTACAATTTTTTGTTAAATAATAGGCAAACACGTTAAATAAGTGAATTAATTAAAAGTGAAATGGTCACTAAGTAAAAAGCAAATATTTCTGTAGAATACCTTAGCAAATAATAGAACATACTTAGACAAACAATTTATTACCAAATTAACAAAAAGAAGAAGCATTATTCCTTCAAAAAGAAGCTCAGTTCGGAAAGATCACGCAAAGCAAAGCCTATAGAATACACCAAAAGCAGTGTCAATAAGTAGAAAAACTATCCTAATACGGCTAAGAGAGGCCGATTTTTTTGCATATATAGCTCGTCCAATTCCTTTAATTCCAACAAAAAATAATCTAAAAAGGTTAATATTCGCCAAATTCCAATAAACAAGTCGCAATCGTTTTGGGAACTAGTATTATGGACAAATGAAAGCTCTTTTAAATATCATTTATCGAAGGAAAAGATTTAATGCACGTTGAAATGAGGCCCATGTGCGAATGGGGATTACATGGTGGAGGATTGGTAATGTTCTTGGGTGCATGTGCTTCAATGGCTTGAGAGCTTTGGTACCAATTGATGGAACAATGAACAAGGACAAATATTTACGTGGCCTGAATGAACACGCATTCATTTTCGGTGACCAGCTCATTGGACAATTATTTATACTGCTGCAGGACAACGCTCGATGCCACAAGGCCCAAATGAAAACTGCATTTTTGGGGAATGTCGAAGTCACTACATTAAATTGGCCACCTCAAAGCACCGATCTCAATATAATAGAAAATGTGTGAGCTTATACTATATATATGTATAGCCCTAAAAGGAGACTATATTGAATAAGCTAAAAAAAAAAATTTTTTTTAAATTTTTTTCATTCCCAAGGAGGTTACTTTTCACCCCACCTAGTATAAAAAGAAAACGAAATTCAAACTTAACAAGGACGTGCGATACACATTTTCTGCGTATTCGCAAAAGGCATCTTGGACTAATAATCTCCGAGATATAGGCGATTATACGAATGGAAAATCGGGAAAACCCCCATAGGGGGGAAGTGGGGGAGAAAATCAAAAAAATAAAACAAACTTGCACAGCATACACATAAGACAAGTCGATATAGCCATGTCCGTCTGTCTGTCCATCCGTCTGTCTGGCGTCTGAGCGCAAGGATCTCAGGAAGTACAAGAGCTGGAATAACCAAACTTGGTATCGAGGTTCCCCTAAGTCCTAGGCAGATCAAGTTTGTTTTTTTTATAGCCTGTGTATTTATAGCCGGTGAAAGGCTATACTAGTTTTGTGCGCATATATGTAACACACAGAAGGAGGCGTGGCAGACCCCACAAAGTATATATATTCTTGATCAGGATGAGAAGACGAGTCGATATAGCCATGTCCGTCTGTCTGTATGAGCGCAAGGATCTCAGTAAGTACAAGAGCTAGGATAACCAAAATTGGTATCAAGGTTCCTATAAGCCCTAGGCAGAACGAGTTTGTTTATTTTTTCTGATACACCCCCCCCCCCCCCGCCCCACTCCCCCGCAATTCGTATTTTTTCGTATAACTTCCGTAATTCTCGGAATTTTGAAATCATTTTGGTAGGTACATCCAGTTAGTACTAATGTGTCCGTGTGCCAAATTTCATCATGATAGGTCAATTCTGAAGAAAGTTATAGCCATAAGTAAAATCGCTGCTCATGCGCTGCCTGCAGCTCTGTCAGCAGCGCTGCCCGCAGCTGTTGTTGTTGTTGCTGCTTTTGTTCAACTTTGTGCTGCATACATACACGCATATGAACACGCATAGGTACGTGATGTAAATGTATGCTGTTTAAACTGAACATAAACATGTATTCTAATTTAATTTAATTAATTATTTTAATTAATTAATTCATTCATTTTTTTTAATAATTTAATTTTTTTTAAATTTTTTTTTTTTTTAATTTTTCTTTTTGTGGAGAGTACAGGCTATTTTACTGTCGGGCTTGCTCGACTGTAGCGTTCTATCTTGTTTTTTATTCAAATTTGGCTAATACATTCTTTTTGTGGTTACCTGTCCGTATGCCGTATTCATCATGATAGATCAATTCTGAAGAAAGTTATGCTTGCAGCTCTGCCTGCTGCTCTGTTGTTGCTGCTTTGGTTTGTAATGCATACATACACGCATAAAAACACGCTGAGACACGATCCTGATGTATGTAAATGTATGCTGTTGGAACGGTACATGAAAATGTCTCCGATCTACTTGAAGATAGTCATCTTGGCCCATTATTATTTACTCTCTTTATTAATGACCTCCCTTCTATCTTGTCACATTCTCAGATACTGATATATGCTGATGATGGGAAGCTCATCTTTTCTTATAACTATCCTCTCTTCCACACTCGTTTGCAGGATGATCTGAACTACATGCAGAGAGGGGGCTTGGTTAACAAATTGCACCTTAACTGCTCTAAATGTAAGCTTTTCTCTTTTTATCGGTCCACACCCCATCTAGTCACCTATACGATTGATAATGATTTTTTGCAGCGTATTTCTATTATTGAGGATCTGGAAGTACTTTTTGATTCAAAATTTAACTTCAATTTTCACATTTCTTCTACTTCTCAACAAAGCAAAGGGCGTTCTTGGATTCATTTAACGTTGGTCCAAAGAATTTAATGATCCCTATACCACTGAACTACTTTAAAGTTCACTGGTACGGCCTATTTTAGAATACTGCTCATGCGTTTGGTGTCCGCAGGATCAAATTGAGTCTGTTCAGAAACAATTCCTCCTTTTTGCTCTTTGCGGGATCCCAACCTTCTTTTGTCGCCTTACTCAAGCAGACTTCTGCTTATTAATCTTTCTTCATTGGCTAATAGGAGGACTGTTCTTGGAGCTGTATTTCTCCACAAACTGATTGCCGGTAGTGTCGATTCTCCTTTCCTATTAGGTTGTCTTAATTTCTCAGTTTCTTCTAGAACGACAAGAAATTATCTTCCCCTTTCCCTTAGTAGATCTACAACTGATTATGCATCCCACAATCCTTTTCGGGTTTTATGCTCATCTTATAATGATTATTTTCACCTGCTCTGTCTCCTCCTTTAATAAATGCCTCTCTGTTTAGCCATCTCCGGAATCTCTGAACAGGAACGGCTATGAGATGGGGCATAGCTTGCCGGACTGGCTAATAAATCTTCCCCCAACGGGTCACAGATTCCTTTTTTTATAAGATTTTAATTAATTCTAATCTTCTTCTCAGTTAAGTTTTTCTTTTTTATATCAGTAGATCTATTGACGCCTCTGACCACACTTGGCTGTGAGACGGGGCACAGCTAGCCGAAATGCAAATAATTCCCCCAACTGGTCGGAGACGTTAATTAGATACATATTAGTGTAATTTGATTAGATTTCCTCCTAATTAGGCTTTTCTTGCTTATAAGATGCTTTTTGTAATTTCTGTATATTGTCCCCGTATGTCGACTGTCAATTTTTGTTGACATACATATAAATAAATAAATAAATTTCCAAGTATCGCAATTTAACCAAGTTGGAATAATTTGAAATTTGCACTGGAAGCATACCCTCATAAAAAGATCAACATTTTGAAATTAAGCATGTTGTTTAATAGTCATGGCTTATTACTACTTTGAAATGTTCTAATACAAAGTTTAAAAATTTATACATGTATTAACGGTTATTGCCATTGGTTGCACTACCGTTACTGCAAGCTTTGCCATTGACAGAATTTTCAGCACGTGCCTGTTTCTGGTCCAATCCCTTTTCCCTCTTTACTCCATGATCATTTGTAAAATTGGAAAAGTCAAACTACAACGAAAGTGATAACTATGACGCACGATGTTTGTATTAAATTTATTGTAATACTTACGCGCTGTTCAAGAGTCATGTGGGAAATAGGTGGTAGCCCAATGCAGCCACGCAAAATATTCTCGATTGCGGCTCTCTGACGGAACAAAGAGTTTACCACCTGAGAATTTCGAGGAACCAAAGGTGCCTTGCACAAATAGCTCAGAAGTGAAAGAATTGGCTTAAATGGTACCCAGGGCGTACTCGAATGTGATGCGCTACGTATATGAATGCGAGAACTTAGCTCTGCCAAAATAACCAAATCCAATATTAGAGGCGTGGCCAGGAGCGAATCCTCACAGGTATTGTGAATGACTAATGTGTTATGGCCGCCCATCATTATCTCCGACGTGTACTCATCCATGGCACGCTTGCTGTCGCCAACGTAGGGCACATATTTTATAACAACGACATGATCTGGCTGCTCTTTGGCGCCATAGAGTATTTTGTTCGAAGCAACCATGTCATCGACTACATTGCTCTTGGATATCTAAATAAAAATATTCCGGAATAAATAAGTATAAAATTATATAACCTCTATTCTCATTGTAATCCTAAAACTAAGGCATTTGTTGTTCCATAGTCTGCCAAAATTACAAGCATACTCGAATGTGGTATGAACATACTTGTATGTACATGTGTAAAAACATATGGAATGCACGTCCTTGCTGGGCTGAATATTTTTGCTAACAATTACATACATACTTGTATGTCCAAGGACGTATGCAGGGAGAGGCACGGAGAGGCCATTGACCCGGCCCCTCCTCCTAAATCTTTAGAATAAACTGTCTTTGTCATTTTTTTGGCTAACTATTTTGCCTTTAAATGGAACTGAGTTTGATTTGTTTAAGTTTTTTTATTGATCATACGCATAAATTATTATTTAAACGCATCGTGCATTATTTAATCAAAATTTTAATTTGTTTGCCCCCTTTGGAAAAAGCTAAACGACCAATTGTTTCAGTCGGCAGCAACGCACGGCGAGCCGCGGCAGAATTTCTCGTGGGTCCGAATCAGTCGTGCTCTCATTTTACGAACCCTGGTTATTATGTACCAAAATGAGCAAATTTAATATCGGGTTTTCAAATGTAAACTTGATTGATACAATTTTGAGGTAAGAGTTTAGACTCCTAGTAAAAAACTTTAAAATACTGGAAATAACTTATTTTTCTTCAAAACAAATGAACACCGAAATAATGAGGCTTAAGATGTTTTCTCAATACACTTTTTCCTGTGCCAACAGAAGAGATTACCAATGCTTAGACGCTATTGAACCGTAATATTTGGACTGTCCTAGTAAAATTCTTGCTCTGTTGAACAGAGCTCTTTTACATAAAGGTTTTAAGCTTACATTTATGAATTGGGTAAACAAAATATTGCTAGCTGGCATACACATCAGCTACAAAGCTGCCACAAAGACACTGACATTCAATTGTCATATTTTCTTAATTTTAAAACTATATCAGAAGCAACAAATTCAAATTAAAATAAATACAATAATATAAGGTGTTAAGGCCACCTTATTAAAATACTTAATCATACTGTTAAATTTAGTATACAAAATTTTGTTCTGAAAATCTCACCTCCTTGGAGCGAAATTGTTCTGGCGCGGATAAATTTTTACCGTCGTTATTACCCAAATGGTTGTAGCTAACGATGGACACTGGCTTAATACCTGCTCCGACTAAGAAATCCACCAAAACGCTCTTTATTTTCGTTTGACCCGATTTAAAGTCGTCGCCAGCAATAAACACGCCTTTAGCTTCGGCCATCTCAATCAGGCCCGGTACGAAAGTATTTTGTGGAGAGCCATTGATATATGTGCACTGTGAAATATGAAAAACATTTCTTAATCTTGTTACATTGAGGAATAATCTGCTTTCATACTCCCTCATCTATACTGGCCATAGCAAAAATAGTAGACGGCGACAGCTCTGCTTTGTTCGCCTGCAGTGTAGTCTTCAGGTCCTCCATTGTGTTGTTTAAGCCCTCCCGTACATCGCAAAAACGCTCCGTATTGGCCGTCCACAACACTATGACTGTCTCCACGCCACTACGTTGCTTAAAGTCACGTATATCGCGACGGACTTGTTCGTACTGCTCCATTTTACTGCCCTTGATCACATTATTGGCGCGACCTACCTGATTTGCAGCTATAAAGCTAGGATCGTAAATAGAAGCACGCGGTTTCAGTCCGACCAAATTTTCATATAATTGATCTTGAACTCCAATATCGAGAACTTCTGCGCGACGCATCGCATCCCCAAGATTTAAACCACTAATATCCCATCCATCAACCAATATATCATTTGGCCTCACCATGGGAAGCAGCTCATTCATGGCCACATGTACATCGCTGCCTTCTTCATCGGAGCCAATCAAAACGGTAGAGGCTTGAGTTATGCTCCCGTACCAATTGGCTTTTTGAATTCCCGTTCGGGTTCGCCATTGCAACTGTTGACGATTGGCCTCCAACGCTGCCGTCAATGTAGATCCGTTATTCCCACCCCATCCGACAAGCATAAGACCCAGCTTAGGGACGTTCCGAGCCGTACGTATTTTTAATGCTGTCGTCTCCGGATAAACCTAAGGCGGTAAGATGGTCATTACTTTAACTTTCCAATAGGTTGGACTTTTATTGACAGTCTAGAATATGTTATACAATTTAGTTCAAACAAGAAAGGAATGCTAGATTCAAGTGAACTGAGCTCTTAAATACCCAGCGCCCATCCACTACTCTGTACATGAAATATACAAGAGTATATCCTAATATACCGCAAACCTATTTGCGGGAGGTGAAAAATGTACAGAGTATATATATTTTCTTGATCAGCAGGACAAGACGAGTCGATCCATGTCTGTATGAATACCTGGATCTCAGAGACTATAAAAGCTAGAGACACCAAATTTCCCCCTATGGGGTTTTCCCGATTTTCCGTTCGTATAATCACCTATATCTCGGAGACTATAAGACCTAGGGGCACAAAATTTTAGTGAAAGATGCCTTTTGTGAATACGCAGAAAATGTGTATGTGTAAATGTGTGTTTGGAATTTCCCTCCCTCCCTCCTCTAACCAGCTATCAGTGGTCACCCATAACTCTTATGTGTCCGTATGCCAAGTTTCATCATAGGCCGATTTAACAGGAAGTTATAGCTATATATATAATTGCTGCCCAAGCGCTGCCCGCAGCTGTTGTGCTGGTGCTTTGGTTGACTGCAAAAATCACGATTTGCGGGGGAGAGGGGGGAGGGAGGGAAATTCCAAAATACACATTTTCTGAGTATTCACATAAGGCATCTTGGACTTAAATTTGGTGTTCCCAAGTCTTATAGTCTCTGAGATATAGGCGATTATACGAATGGAAAATCGTGAAACCCCCATAGGGGGGAAGTGGGAGGGAAAATAAAACAAATTTGCACGGCGTACACATATAACGCATCTTTGTGCAAAGTTTGGTGTCTACATCTTATAGTCTCTGAGATCCAGGTATTCATACGAACAGACGGACAGACAGACAGGGCTAGATCGACTCGTCTCGTCATGCTGATCAAGAATATATGTATATACCTTGTGGGGTCTGCCACGCCTCCTTCTGCCTGTTACATTTTCAGCTCCCGCAAACCTAATATACTCTTGTTCATTTTATGTACAGAATGTACAAAATATTCAAAACATGCACATATACATTTACATCAGAATCGTATCTATACGTGTTTGTGTACTTGTACTTATGTATGTTTGCATTAAATAATTATATCAAAGCAGCAACAACAGGTGCGGGCAGAGCTTGGGCATATAATATATTTAAGTCTATACTTGTAACTTCCTTAATTCCCCCTTCCCATTCCCCTATGATACTTATAATGCGATCTCGTAATCACTAACTGGAGGTATTTTCCAAATCTGAGTATCAGAAAAACAGCCCAAACTTGTCCTTTTTTCGACTTAAGAAAATCTGGATACCAAGTTTGGTTATTCTTGCTGAGATCCTTGCGTTCATACAGACTAACGGACGGGCAGACGGACATGGCTATATCGACTCGACTTGTCATTAGGGATGTAAAAAAACATCGATATATCGAGCAGCGACGATGTTTTTACCACGATGCATCGATGTTTTACGATGGTTTTTTGCTAACGATGCATCGTCGATCCATCGATGTTTGTCCATACATTGAACATTATTCATGTTTTGTTGGGCGATCACATTTCTTTGTGCAGTTTACCGAAGACGGTATATTTTTATTATAAATTATTTGAAGTTTTTATTCAAATAAGTATATTGTAATATAAATATTAGATTGTTAAGTATTTGATCTTCATTTTTTCGTATATAATGTCACACTTAATATGCTTAAAAGGCGTAGGTGAAACGCGTCGTTGTTTTTAAAACTGTATATACAGGGGTGCCACAGAAAACTCCGGTGGTTTCGGCTACAGTTGTTTTTGAAAGAAATACGTTTCCAAGCCGGCTGTGAGACACAGCTGACTGTCGACGCCTACATTTGACTGACTAATTGTAATTAAATTCTGTAACGTACTAACTTAAAGAAATAACAAATATGCCATTTGCATTAATATTAGCCTTCAAGAATTTGCGGAAACGCCAATTAAATGTTGAAAAAATACAACACAAATGTTTGAGAAGTGCATCTGATCCCAATTTGGCGGAATAAAGAATTAAATAAATTAAATTAAATTTATTTGTAAAATTTTTTATAACATCATATGGAATTTTGCGCAATGTCGGGGTATGCTTCCATAAAATGGACGAAAATTGCGTCCAGTTATGGCGATCTATCTTTTCCCCTGCAAAAAACTAGCATTTGAAAGTGAATTCATAAATTAAACAAGTAGGGCAGCTAAAGTCGGGTGTCACGACTTTAAAATACTCTGTACATACATATGTGTACAATAATTATGCGTGTAGTATGTGTGTGTATGCCTGTGTATGTCTCGTGTGCCTGTGCAAAGGTAACAACAACAACAGCTACGGGCACTGCGTGGTCTTATGTACATGCAAGGACGTAGGCAGCTTTTACCAAATTTTACCAAATTAAAATATTTATTAAATAATGCACGATGCATTTATAAAATTACTTATGCACATGATCAATGAAAAAACTTCAACAAATCCAACTCAGATCGATTTTAAGGCGAAATAATGTGTCATCATAATGAACGTGTGGTCGACTTTATATGGCAACATTTTTGTAAAAATTTTCTGGAAATACGGGAGCAATGCGCGGGAGAGGGGGAGGGAGGGAAATTTCAAAATACACATTTTCTACGTATTCACATAAGGCATCTGAGACTAAAATTTGGTGTCACTAGCTCTTAGTGTCTGAGATATAGGCGATTTTACGGAATAGAAATAGAATAGATGGACTCGTCTTGTCACGCTGATCAAGAATATATATACTTTGTGGGGTCTGCCACGCCTCCTTCTGCCTGTTACATTTTTCAGGTAGTGCAAACCTAATATACTCTTGTACATTTCATGTACACAGTATAAAATGTCGAATGAAAATGAATTTTTTATAGCCTGTACCAGTAGGGTAAAAGGCTATATTAGTTTTGTGCGAATGTTTGTAACACACTCCCAAATTTTTGATAGACCGATTTTACAGGAAGTTATGGCGATAAATATATTTTCTGCCCAAGCGCTGTGCACGACTGTTGTTGATGTTGGTGGTTTGGTTGACTGCAAACATGCTCACACAGACACGAATAGACACACATAGACATGCATACACTCACATAGACGCAATTTCAATGTAAATGTGCACCTTTCACATGAGTTGAATACCGAGAATGGTAAAATCGATCAACATTTTTTATAGCCTGTACCCAAAGGGTAAAAGGCTATACTAGTATTGTGCGAATGTATGTAACATACAGAAGGAGGTGTGGCAGACCCCACAAAGTACATATGTACAAATATTATTGATCAGGATGACAGGCCGAGTCGATATAGCCATGTCCGTCCGTTTGTATGAACGCAAGGATCTCAGCAAGTACAAGAGCAAGAATAACCAAACTTAAATTAATAAAAGCTTTTTAAATATATACATATATTTTTTTAATTTTCTTTTTTGTGGAGAGTACAGGGTATTTTACTGTCGGGATTGCTGGACTGTAGCGTTCTATCTTGTTTTTCGCTTTAAATGTGTACGTCTGTCCCGTGCGACATCATGGAAATGTCCATATATACAGTATAAATATCTTTATTGACAGAGTATGTTAGAAAACAAACAATAAAGTTATGTTTAGTTTTAAATATAAAAATAAATAAATAAATAAACCATATCAAAGATACATAAAATGTACAAGAGTATATTAGGTTTGCGGGAGCTGAAAATGTAACAGGCAGAAGGAGGCGTGGCAGACCCCACAAGGTATATATATTCTTGATCAGCATGACGAGACGAGTCGGTCTAGCCCTGTCTGTCTGTCTGTCTGTCCGTCTGCCCGTATGAACATCTGGATCTCAGAGACTATAAGAGGTAGAGAAACCAAACTTTGCACAAAGATGCGTTATGTGTGTACGCTGTGCAAGTTTGTTTTATTTTCCCTCCCACTTCCGATTTTCCATTCGTATAGTCGCCTATATCTCAGAGACTATAAGAACTACGGACACCAAATTTTAGTCCCAGATGCCTTATGTGAATACGTAGAAAATATGTATTTTGGAATTTCCCTCCCTCCCCTCTCTCCCATGCAAATCGCGATTTTCTCCCGTAATTCTTGGAATTTCGAACTAAAATTTTGCAAATACCCCCGTATGCCAAGTTTCATCATGATAGACCGATTTAAAAATAAGTTATAGCCATAAATATATTTGCTGCTTGTTTTAATTTCTTTCATTATTGTAAACATATGTACAGAGTATTTCAAAGTCGGGACACCCGACTTTAGCTTTTTTACTTGTTTTATTACTAACAGAGTATAAATCTAAGACTCCGATCGCATTATTTTAGTTTATTAAACCGGCTTTTGCACCTGTTGCTTTTTCTTGATATTAGACAACGAGTCTCTGGTTTATTTTTGTATTTATTCATACTGAATTGTTAAAATTTGCAAACTAATTTCCATCTATATTTGTGAGTCGCATAATTAATTAAAACAGACAAAGAACTTGTTATAAATAATTTATCAACCCAAATTTACTGTAAATGGGTTGGATACACATTCCTTCTACACGTTACTGGACCCACCAACACTTTGTAAAAGCTTTAAATGTTTCCAGAGCTATCACTTAAAATGTGAATAGGTGTGCAGCAACATGCATGTATCAGGACATCATTAAGAGATAATATACTATAGTAATATAAAAGTATTTTTATACTCTGTACATTAAATGTACAAGAGAATAGAACACACCCCACAAAGTGTGTATATTCTTGATCAGCATGACAAAACGAGTCGATCTATGTCTGTCTGCCTTATGTGTGTACGCTATGCAAATTTACTTCTTTTTTTTATTCCATTCGTATAATCGCCTATATCTCAGAGACTTTAAGACTATATAACAAATTTGAGTTTTATTTAAATACGCAGAAAATGTGTATTTTGAAATTTCCTTTCCTCAGAATCACTGATTTTCAATAACCCCCGTATTTCTGGGAATTTCGAACTCAAATTTGGCAAATACTTCCAGTTTGATGATAAGTCCGTATGCTAAGTTTCATTATGATAGACCGATTTAACAGGACGTTATAGCCATAAGCGCTGCCCGGAGCTGTTGTTGTTGCCGCTATTTTGTGCTGGATAAATGCTGACACAGATGCGAATAGATACACATAGGCATGCATACACTCACATAGACTCAATTCCTATGCAAATGTGCAATTATACACCCCGAATACCAATAGAGGTAAAATATAGTAAATCAAAAATTTGTTTTATAATTTTTTTAATTTTTAAAATTTCTATAGGTATTCTACACATACATATGTACAGAGTATTTTAAAGTCTGTACATGTTTCTTCTCTGTTTTCTCTTATACCTTTTATGTGCAAGACTTGCAGTTACTTTCTTGATATTGTTTCAAATTCAAGGTCAAAACATACTACGACATTGCCCTTCAACATGCAGCAAGTGTCAGTTGTATCATATGTTAACAGCGGACAGGGTGAGTGTACAGGCATACATACATATGCTCAGTTAGCACCTGCAACACTTTGAATTACAGAAAATCAGAAATATTACACTAATAAATATATACATACTCGTATGTATACAAATTTTATTTACAATGGAATTGTTTATAAGTTAATTTGAAATTGTAAGCCCTATGTGAAATCGGATACTTTCGGCAAAAAAGGTGTTGCACACCGGAGAAACAGATAACATTCGATATCAGAAAAAATACACCCTACCTTAGAAAAATGTTGCCTATCAATATTTTTAATAATAAAACTGTAACAGGCAAATTGATATAAATTGATTGATATAAAATACACCCTACGCCACCAAATATTGAAATTGAAATTTGTTATTATTAAATTATTGTTGTTTTAATGTTTATGTAATCCACTCCATGTAATCATTCATGGTTTTTTAATAGACCAGACAACTTCCATGAAACCTAATTAATATTATTGACTTTTATGTTAATTAATTTAGTTTTACCCACCTGCACTTTACCATCAATTCGTTTTACATTAGATGTTTTATACTCATAGTCCGTTTCAATGAACTCATCATCAACGTGAACGTTTGGTGAAATTATCTCCAGCACAGAATCTTTAATAGGCCTCATTTTTTGCATAGAGTTCGTCTGCACACCTCTTATTTATCACTTTTACTTAACACAATTCACAAAACGATGATAGGTTTATTTATAAGATCCGATGCCTTTAACGAGAGAATGCCGCACGCAGAGGCGAGTATAGGCGACTTATGCTACTTTTGTATTCTCAGTCCAGAAGTTCGCCACGTAATGAGCTACTGTCTAGATGAACGCCGTATTTATTAACTACATGTGCAAAAATTTCTCTTGTCAGTGCTCTAAACCTGGCTCTCTCCACTCTTTGTTTTTATGAAGCAATAATTATCAGGCGACGCATTGCGCAGATGCGTTCTCACAAGAGCGTAAGAAATGGTTTCGTACGTAGAAAAAACCATGTTTTTGCTGAAAAAAATTATAGGTTATTCATCAATTTGAAAATTACGCGTTGTTCTTCATTAAAACTTAAATCTGGCTTTGAAATACAACTCTAAGTTCCAGTCTATATATTTATTTCAAGAACTGAGATAACGTTTTAAAAATTAACCAAATATATATATAATATAAAAATATATTCTACTATTACTTTTCTCATTGACGACCCAATTGTATTGATTGACATACGCCTAAAAAACACATGACGATATTTCAATTTCCACTTATACAGTAGAAACAATTTCATTTGAATGTTAAAAATGAAGAAAAACCGCCAATCAAGTGACAACTGGCTGGCTATAGGCATTGGAAGGTTAAAAGTGTGCCCTTTTTACTATGTACTTGTATGTGTTTATGTACAATGTATGGATTTACCTGAAGCAGGTGTCTTCATAAACAGTTTTTCCTTCACCCTCCCTTTTACAACCGTGTTTTTTTCGTTCTCAACTGGATTACCGTCTTGTCGCTTGTATTTTTGTAAAATAGGTAGACTTGGTAACAAATGAAGAAACATACACAGGTACATACACATAAGTACATACATGTACATATGTATATACATATATGAAAGTTAAATTAATATTTTTGCGAATCAATATTCCATTTATATTACTACTAGCAGGTCTTGTCCGTCTTTGCTGGGCTAAGTAAAATGTGCTTATAATTATAACTTTATTTACTATATGATATTCTTCTTTCGACGCTCTCTAAAGTTTTTTAAAGAGTTCATTCGTCGAACCTTTCAAAAAGCAAATATAATACAATAAGTACTATGTATGGTTATACGTAGATACATACATATGTACATATGTATGTATCTTCGTTACGCACCGGGCGGACTGCCAGTCCTCACTTAACTGTGTGCTTTCTCAACACGTTGTACACATGGTCGAGTTATCCCCGAAAAGTCCGACGCGGGACATTTAATTTTGATTTATAAATCGGGGCGTCCCGCCAAGATTGGAGCGTTCGGAACCGCTGATATGTACATACATTTAAATTTTTCATGCAGGCGTTATCCGGCTATATACATACACACATACATATATAAGTATGTATTACATTTTTTAATTCAACACTAATTTGTGTCTTCAATTCCAAATATGATCGTTGTGAATGTAAAAGGTGTGTTTTTGCTTTTGTAAATCGCATGAATACACTCACAAAATAGGCTTAACGGTAAATGACTCTTAGATTTGTTCAGAGTATATTTGTAGCGTTGTTAGCTAACACTAAAACGGTAAGTCGCTGTAAACACTAACCATACAACATATAGATGCGTCATTTCATACAACGAAAACGTCCCATCGAAATTGTTAGCGACAGCTCCCATAGCTGTTCGGGTATTTGCCGAATGGGAGCTGTCGCACTTCGGCTATGAGCCGACTGGGAGCTGTCGCATTCGTGCTCTCTGTGAGCGAATTTCATTTCATTCGCAGAGAGGCAGTCTACAGAGACGGTCGGTTCACGCCGCTTATGCTCTTTGTATGTGTGCGTGCACATATATACATGTATATGTTTATATGTATTTGTGCATTTGGTCTTTTGCTGTTTGCGAGCAGCAGCTTCAATTTCGTTTTCAGATTTTACCTGCTACATGGGCATCAGAATTTCATACACTGTTGCCATATTTCTGTCGCATTGTATTTTGGGATGCGTATGCAAGTGAAGTTTGTCAGTAGTGTATGGGTTTCTCATAACGCCTATAAAAGCACACATACATACAATTACATACATATTTATGTGTGCAAATGTTGTGTTCATATGCAGACCTTGACATTGTCATGACCTGCCTCAACTTATATTTATGCACAAGCAATTTTATTGATAGACTATTTCTTATTTTTGTTTGACTTGCATATTAATATGTAATATGTTTGTTCATATACAACATTAGATCGGTAACAAATTTGAGCGGCGAATTAAAAAAAAAAACAATATATATTAAATTATCAAAAGATGTACATACATATAAACATATATGTATGTATTTTTATTTATTTAATTACACTTGTTTTACAAATTTTACCACATTTTGCGACCCTTAAATGTACTTATTTTCATATTAAATATCGGCTAATTTGCCAACCGACATTTTTACCAAGAACATAAATAAAATAATATATTTTTAAACTAATATTTTTGAATTAATTTGATTTAAATGCCAACTGACATTTTTACCAAATATTTTGTAATTAATATGCAAGTCAAACAAAAATAAGAAATAGTCTATCAATAAAATTGCTTGTGCATAAATATAAGTTGAGGCAGGTCATGACAATGTCAAGGTCTGCATATGAACACAACATTTGCACACATAAATATGTATGTAATTGTATGTATGTGTGCTTTTATAGGCGTTATGAGAAACCCATACACTACTGACAAACTTCACTTGCATACGCATCCCAAAATACAATGCGACAGAAATATGGCAACAGTGTATGAAATTCTGATGCCCATGTAGCAGGTAAAATCTGAAAACGAAATTGAAGCTGCTGCTCGCAAACAGCAAAAGACCAAATGCACAAATACATATAAACATATACATGTATATATGTGCACGCACACATACAAAGAGCATAAGCGGCGTGAACCGACCGTCTCTGTAGACTGCCTCTCTGCGAATGAAATGAAATTCGCTCACAGAGAGCACGAATGCGACAGCTCCCAGTCGGCTCATAGCCGAAGTGCGACAGCTCCCATTCGGCAAATACCCGAACAGCTATGGGAGCTGTCGCTAACAATTTCGATGGGACGTTTTCGTTGTATGAAATGACGCATCTATATGTTGTATGGTTAGTGCTGTAAATAAGCGATCAGCTGAGATGCTAGAGATGGGCATGTGTCGGATGCTCTATATGTTAGAGCATCAAAACTATCGATAGTTGAATTCGTCGATACAATCAAATCCATCGAAGTTTGAATGCAATTAACAGAAAATTTAAATAATAACATCTTATAATTTATTGAGATCAATTAGAACAAATCATATACAAACATACATATGTACATCTGCCCGCAACGCGAAGAAGGATATGCGTAGGTCCGCTTTCATTTCTGCTTTCGCTATCGCTTACGCAGTCGTTGCCGTCGCGACGGTAACTGTAAACTTTTGGCATTTTGCCTTTGAAATTAACAGGCGTAAATGATCAAAACGAAAGAAGAGCGAGCCAATAACTTGAAGTTGTTGTTGTTTTTCGTTTTAAAAATTTGATTTAAAACCATAGAACATTATTTATTACAATCAAACAACAGTGCTCGATTGTGCAATGTATACATACATGCATACATACATACATACATACGAATGTACATACATGTTATATATGTACGTACACGGGCATACATACATACATACATATGTATGTACATATCAGGGTTCGTAAAATGCGGGCAAAACCTGTTCGGGCCCGCGAGAAATTCTGCTGCAGGTCGCCGCGGGTCGCTGCCGACAGAGGCCGCGGGTACGATCGGGTCGTCTGGCAGAGGTAACGGGTCGTGCGGGTACGCCGTGCTTCGCCGCGGGTCGCTGCCGACAGCAGCAGTGTCGTACGAGCCGGTCTGCAGTAGCAGAGCGCTCGTTCGTGCTGAGTGAGGCTATAAGGGATGAAATGCATCGCGTACATTTTGCCTTGAAATATATACACGCAAGCATTCCATCATACAAATTTAACACATATGTACGACCCAATCGTACCCGCGGCCTCTGTCGGCAGCGACCCGAAAAAAACCCACAGCAGAATTTCTCGCGGGCCCGAACGGGTTGTGAGCACATTTTACGAACCCTGGTACATATGCATGCATGTTTCTCTTTACATTTTCATACATAGACCAGAACTGTTACTTGTTCTGTGTGTGAGTGTGTGTATATGATGTCCCCAACTATTTGATATTTGCGTTCTTTGTAATTTGTTGTTGATGCATAAAGTTACTAATGAAAACCCCAATGCCAAATGTACCAAACAAAGAAAAAATTACTTTTAAAAATGTTAAATAATTTTTAATAAATTAACATTTCTTGCTCTGTCAGTGCAAGACGAATGAACATACATATATACATACATAGATTTGTACATATGTATGTGTGTACATTCACACATTAGTGTCTCACATTTTGCTTTGGCTATTTCAATCGTTTGCACGCAACTACACCAACAGCTGCTTGTATATGTGTGTGTGTGTATGTATACTTAGTTGTCCCCAACTGTTTGATATTTTGTATTGTTTGTTCTGCCTGCATTTGTGGAATGCATATTTTGAAAATCCTTGAATGCAAAGTTATAAAATTAGTTACGTAGATTACAGTCCCCAAATTTGAAATCGATTTTGTTTGTATTCTTTTATAGATTATAAAAATCAAATTTAAAGTTGATCGGTGCACAAATGCAGAATTTTCAAACAAACTTTGGAGCTCGTTTCCCCCCTTTGGAGCTTGAATTTTCCAAAATCCCTTCTTAGTGGGCACCTTCACTATGATAGGCTCCTTGAGCCCAAATTTCAGCTTCTTAGCTCTTGCCGTTTGGGCTGTGGGCTGTTGACGCGGTTTCCTTTTGTGCCCCATTTTTTTTTACAGGAAAACTCCCATATTTCAGTCCCAAATAATTCAAGCTCCACCACAAATTTCAAAAAACCAAGTATACAGTTTTTCTTGGAATTTTTTTGAGAGTATACAAATAAGTTAATCCGATGAATATTGTAGATTTTTCATACAAACGTTGGAGCCTGTTTTCCCACCTTTGGAGATCGAGTTTTCCAAAATCCTTTCTT